ATTCCCAAAGTTAATCTCTGATTCTAAGATGATCCCAACCACTGGAAGACATATACACCCCAGATACGTATCCAAAAAATGATTATTCACATTATATCTCAGCACCCAAGTCAAAAACCAAATTCTTACATTGTCTCCTTATTGAAACAAGTCCCTTTCCTAGGACAGACACATCTCCAACCTGTCATCCTAGAAATCCTGAGAACCCTTAACCCACCAGAATATTCTACCAGAGTAGATATTCTGTAATATTGAATATGAAGTAATATTCTGCATTACTTCCCCCCGGTCTTCAACCCCACTTATAGTACTTATCTTCATCTCTGACCTAGGGACAACCCCATTTTCTAGAGCCACTCAACGATGGTTCTTGCTCAGAAATTCCCAGGATAAACCCCTTACTTAGAACCTTTTCTTTCCTCTAAATATTACTTTTCCAGGTCTAAAGCTATTCTCACCACCATCTCTCGACCCACCCTCTTACATCTTTCTTTCTCCTCATATACAGATTTTTAAGACAAGGTGGTGAAGAGGAAGTGCATTCTTGGCATGGGAGGGAAGTAGCCTATGCAAAGAGACAGGAGACAAGATGTTGACTTGAGGCAACAAAGTAGGCCAATTTGGCTGGAACCCTGAGGCAGTGAGGAACTGTGGGGAGACTAACAACTCCTCTGGAGAAGGAGGCAACCATTCTTACCAAACACCAACAGACTACCCCTCACAGGGCAGGCAAGTGAGCCTGAGGGAGGAGACAGAGACAGCACTTGCCAGACAAACTAGACCACAATCAACACCACCTTGACCACCTCATGCCTGGACACAGCCCAGGACCTGGAACCCAACAGCCTTGGGAACAACAATATTTCTAGCCCAGCACTCCCAGTCATCAACTTGGGAAGTAAACCTTGGGGAGATGTAGCCTGCTACCTGCTCCTGCACATGCTACACAATGTAGTTATTAAAAGTCTGAGAAAAGAATGTTCTTGTGACCCAAGTCCTTGGCACTGTTGCTCAATTTCAGCAACTGATATGATCTTATTAGTAGAAATAATATTAGAGGCATTAAAATTTGCTTTGCTGCTGGACCATGACGTTTACCGACTTGGGAGGAAACCTTCCATATGTGTTCTCCCCCATTGAAATGTGAGCACTTTGAGAGCAGGGACTGGTCTTACTTTTCCATGTGTATTCCCAGCACTTATCACAGTGCTTTGCACATAGTATGCACCTAAAATAAATGTTTTATTTATTCATTCAGTACTGAACTTGAAGCCAGGACAAACTGAGTTCAGATTCTGCCTTTGTTTTACTAACTACATGATTATGAGCAAGTGATAATTTTTCTAAGCCAGAGTCATCGGTTAAATGAGAGGGGAAAAAAAGCCTTTAGTACCTGATAGGGTTGCGTTGGGGCTGAAATGAGACAATGCTTGTACAGTACTTTGCAAAATGTAAAGTGCAAGACAAATATTGGTTATTAGGAAGGGGAGAGATGGGAGCCAGACTGTGGAAGGCTGTAAATACCCGCCGATCTTGGCAGAGGGGCAAGATTAGAAGTGCAGAACAGGACACATTTTCAGATACAGCCAATTTCTTGATTACACCAACTTGACACAAGGAAGGATTGAAAAGGGTATGGGGAGGGGAAGAGAAAGAGTTAGTGGAATGTGAAAAGGATTAAACAAGAGGAAGAAAAAGGCATCTACAATAGAAGAAAGCATAAAAATTTAAAATACAAAATAAAATTCAGAAGGGAACAAAACGAAGGGAATTTTTTCTACTCTCTTGTTAAAATTTAATATACACTTAATAGAAACAAACTGTACATAACAGAAATCCAGTTTCACATTCAATCTCCTTTCGGTTCTTTGTATATTAGGTTTCTATAGATAACTAAGAATATTTTGGGGGGTTTTTTTGTTTGTTTTTTGGTGAGGCAATTGGGGTCAAGTGATTTGCCCAGAGTCACACAGCTAGTGAGTGTTATGTGTCTGAAGCCGGATTTGAACTCAGGTCTTCCTGACTCCAGGGCCAGTGCTCTATCCACTGTGCCACCTAGCTGCCCCCTACTAAGAATATTTTTTAAAATCCAGCTGAGGAACCTAGAGATCATATGAGGGAGCCAATGAAGTTTTTGGTTTGGTTTTTTTTTTAAGCAAAGAAATGAAATGGTCAGGCCTGTGTCTTAGGAATATTCATGTGGCAGCTCTGTGGAGGACAGATTGTAAAGGGGAGAGATTATCCAAACAGGTCAGGCAAGAGGAGACGAGGACCTGAAAAGGAAGAAACATTGTGGAGCGGAGTTCTCCAGCTTTTACATGTCACAGACCCCTTTGGCAGTCTGGTGAAGCCTATGGAACCCTTCTACAAATAATGTTTTTGCCTACATTCATAATCAAAGGAAATGCTAAATTTCATTTAGAGGTTAAGAAAAATAAAGATGTAATTTTTTTCCCCATCCAACCTGTGAACCCCAGGTTAAGAACCCCTGTGTACAACCAAGATTTGACAACTGATTAGATCATTAAGAGTGAAGGTAAATGACAAGAAAGGATTATGGTCTCAACAGAAATTGGTAAGTTTGGAGGAAGGATGGGTTTGGGAAAAAACAAGTTCCAATTTTGACAAATTCAGTGTGAAATGACAATGGGACATCTAGGTAGAGATTTTCAGAATTCCCACTTACAATGTGTGACTAGAGTTCTAGAGAGAGACTAGACCTGATTGTGCAAATCTGGGAAGAGGGTGGAGAAAGGGGAGGAAGGAGAGGGAATAGGTCATATAGTGCCTTCTGTGTGCCAGGAACTGCTCTAAGTAAGCACTTTACAAATATCTCATTTCATCCTCGCAAAAATTCTGTGAGGCAGGTACTATTATTATCCTAATTTTACTGTTGTTCTCAACTGAAGTAAATAATGATTAAATGACCTACCCAGGGTCACACAGCTAATAGAAAGTCTTGAGGCTAGATTTGAACTGTTTTCCTGACTCCGAGTCCAGTGACCAATCCACTGCATCTCCTAGCTGCCATCTCTTGAACCCTTGCGCACTAAAGCCATTATAGCTTTCATACATAGATTATATAGCTATATTACCAAGACCACAATTTAGAGAAGAGGGTTCAGGACAGAGAGAGACCAAACAGTGAGCTAGGTATGGATGATGATACAGCAAAGGAGAGCAGTGGTCAGACAGGCAAGAGAACAAAAACAATAAAGTCAAGAGTCTGGGTAGAGATTTCCAGAATTCCCACTGATGATGTGTGATTGGAGTTCTAGAAAGATTAGGCCTGATTGTGCAGACCTGGGAATCATCAGGGAAGGCAGGGAGAAGGTGAAGGAAGGGGAGAAAGAGAACATAAAAGAGAAAGGAATGAATCAATAGTGTGAAAAGCTACAGAAGGATCAGTTGAGGACTGAAAGAAAACCACTGGACTTAGCAGTTAAGTGACCACTGGTAATCTCAAAGTATCTAGTTTTCAGCTGAGTAGTGGGACTGAAACCTTGTGAGTAGTGAGTATTGATGCAACAAAGATGGGCAATTATTTCTAGGAGTTTGGCTGTAAGTGGGAAACGTGATACAGGATAGTAAGTTTGATAGGATGGCAGGACCAACTGAAAGGTTTTATTTTAAAGGATGGGGCAGATGTTAGCATGATTGTAGGCAGCAGAGAAAAGGATGAATAAAGAAAAGACTGAAGATTTAAGTCAATGATCAAGAGGGCCTTGGATATACTTCCCAAAGCAGTGCTGCCTTTTCACAGGACAGATGGTTATTTACATACGACCTATAGTTTCCACTTGAAGGTTGTCTTACTTTCTGGCCTAGGAAACATTCATTCTTAGACTCATCTTCTCTCATCTCTAGATACATGAATAGAGGACACATTCTCCAAAGTTCTAGATTGAAACACTGCCCCCTCTGCCTAATACCGACTTGACTATCTCCTACTAAATACAGCCTGCTCTCTCTCTCTCCCCCAAATTCATCTTCCTAATTCTTTATTGATTTTCAATAGGCCATGAGTAATATTTAATTTTAAATTAGTTGTAAATACAACTTAGGGATTTTCCATACATCTGTAATTTCCTCAACAGGTATCAATGAAAGTGCCCTGCTTAACCCTACAAATCACCCATCTCTGAGGCACTTAGCATAAAACATTCATTAAAAATATTTAGATTTATTCTTTTGTTTGTTTTTTGCTAGGCAATGGGGTTAAGTGACTTGCCCAGGGTCACACAGCTAGTAAGTGTCAAGTGTCAAGTGTCTAAGGACGGATTTGAACTCAGGTCCTTCTGACTCCAGGGCTGGTGCTCTATCCACTGTGCCACCTAGCTGCCTCTGCATTTATTCGTGCATTACCACTATTAGGACAGATTAGAGGTATGATTTACTTTCAACCTTTTAAAGGTGAGGGAACTTTCTAATTCATTTCATTATAGGCAGAGAAGCAAGGCCACATAATGCTTAAAAACCATGTCTGCCAATGACAAAAATTTGATTTCCTCAGTTTAGCCTTTGTCTCAAAATTGTAAGGGGAAAATGGCTACTAATTGGCTATACAGGATATGGGACATATATAGGTAGCATAATTTAACAGGATGTACAACCAAGATTTAACAACTGATTAGATCATGGAGAGTGAAGGTAAATGACAAGGTTATGAATCTACTTGAAAGTAAAGATCATGGTCCCCTCAAAAGAAATTGGTAAGTCTGGAGGAAGGAAGGGTTTGGGAGAAAATAAGCATTCCAATTTCGACATATTCAGTAAGTATGAAATGACAATGGGACACCTGGGTAGAGATTTCCAGAATTCCCACTGATGATGTGTGATTGGAGTTCTAGACAGATTAGGCCTGATTGTGCAGACCTGGGAATCATCAGGGAAGGCAGGGAGAAGGGGAAGGAAGGGGAGGGAAGAAGTGTATCCTGCTCAGGTCACAATAACAGGAGCTTAAAGTTGTGTGTGGCACAGCAGTAAACAGTAATCAGCCATTTTGAAAAAAAAATATTCTGTAATAAAATATCAGCAAACAGAGAATTAGCACTTGTGCAGTTAACCAGAGTCTTGGTTCGGGCTTCAAAAGTTTCAATCTGAAGAATATTGTTGGCAGGGTTCCTTTCTTGATTAAGTCCTCTTTTACCAAAAATGTATCAACAACAAGTCTTTACGAATGTGGCCGCTGGCCCTTCCTTTTCTTCATTTTCCCCCCAGCAACCTTGTTCCTTACACCCATAGCATTTTCTGTGTCATCATTGCCATCTTTATCTTCTCTCAAACGTTTCCTCTTCTCTCCTTGCTCCCTCATCTCCTACAAAAAAAGCAGAAAAGATGCTACATTTGCATTCTAATTACCTCACAATCTTCCCTGATTAATTATTATTTAAAAAAAAAAGCCCTCCATTTTTCATCCCTCCAAGGAAAAAATCCCAGGTGGGTAACATTTCTAAGGACGAATCTTTGCCTAGACCTGCAGCTTTGAGGCCACAGGCTCCCCACTCCTGGTCGAGAATTTCTTCACTAAAGGATGAGACCAGGCTTGACACATATTGAAGTCGGAAGAGAAAAAGAGACAAAGTTCCACACCATTCGGGCAAATCTCTGGGCTTCAGCCACTCGCTCTGTCAGCAGCATGACCTCTTCTTCCGGAGTTGGAAAGGCAGGAAGTTTCTTCCCAATTAGATGTTCTATACGCTGGTAGAGTTCCACATCATACCTGCAGCAAAAAAAAAAAAAAAAAAAAAAAAAAAGGAAATTGGTATGACTTTGGATCATCTGATACTCAAAATTCACTCCAAAGTCTAATAATCTGTTTCTCGGTTCCAAGTACAAGCCAAATAAAAATCCCTTGCAATGCCCATGAGAATGTTTACCTTCTTTCCTTGTGATAACAAACATACCACCCATCTATAAAGGCACATGTGCATGTAAGATTCTCTGCTTCTCAAAGAGATTAAGAAATTAAATGGATGCTTCAATTATTCCCAAAGCAGAAGGAAAAGTACAAGTTCTCTGGTTCTAGGGGCCGAGGGAAAGTAGGATCACTTACTGTGTGACAAAGGTGATTGACTTGCCAGAGCGCCCAGCTCGAGCTGTCCGACCCACTCGATGGATGTAATCCTTTAAGAAAAAAAAAAAAGAACTTTCATCAAAAGCAAAAATTACACCAGCACTGGGGAAATAAATGTGATAGCATGAAGCCAGGTCTAAGAAAAACACTGCCAGACTGTCTAATCCCAAATGAGGAGAGAAAGGAGAGTCCCTATTACAAAAGGGCCAACTGGCTTGGGACTGTGTCCAGACCCAACATCTACTTAGTCTTTCTTGGTTCTTCATAAAGTCATTATAAGAGCCCCATTTTCTCTTCTTTTTTGCATGATGACAATCTATAAATTATGTCCAAGACTATGAGAAACTGAAAATCCCAAACTACAATCTAACATTTTGCTTGCTCCTCTAAAGAAATGGTGATTGACTGAAGCTAGCATGTATGAAACCCTCGCTGACTCACTCTTGTACCCGAGCAATAAGCATTCTCCAACCATGACCCTGACGACCTGTTTTTTAGCACATAGTAAGCACTTAATAAATGCCTATTGACCTGACTTGGCCTTTTCTTGCTGTCCAACTGTTCTTTTCCTATTTTTTAACATTCATTCATAGGGAAATCAGAAAATATTTCCCTTTAGAAACATGTTATTTAACCTGCAGCAGCAAGTCAACAGAACTTGCCTTGGAATGGGTGGGGATGTCAAAGTTGACTACGACATCCACATGGGGAATGTCCAGACCTCGACTTGCGACATCAGTGGCAAGCAGAATGGATCTTGCTTTTGCCTTGAATTTATTAAGAGATCCCAGGCGTTTATTCTGGAAGAATGAAAAAAAAAGACATAAGATTATGTGAGTGACAAGAAAAAAGAATGTGACACTGGGAAACATAAACAGAAGCACAGAACGTAAGCAGCAAGTAGAAATCAACTTAGTATATACCAATGTGATACAAGGGGTGGTTTGTATAGAGTAGGGAAAAGGGAAGGGGAAAAGTTAGTGGAAAGTGACAAGGATTAAACAAGAGGAAGAAAAAGGCACCTACAATAGAAGAAAGCATAAACATTTAAAAATAAAATAAAATTCAGAAGGGAACACAACCAAGGGAATTTTTTCTACCCTCTTGTTAATATTTAATATACACTTAATAGGAACAAACTGTACATAACATTAGACTAGTTTCACATCCAATCTCATTTTGGTTCTCTATTAGAAGGTATCTGTAGATGACTAAGAACATTTTTTAAAATCCACCTGAGGAACCTAGAGATCTTAGGAGGGAGCCATGAAGATTTTTTTTTTAAGCAGAAAAATGAAATGGTCAAGCCTGTGTCTTAGGAATATTAATGTGGCAGCTCTATGGAGGACGGATTTGAAGGGGAGAGACTGGAAACATACCTGACTCATCTGTCCATGGAGAGGGATGGCAGTGAATCCAAGATTTCGAAGCAGCAAGGCTGTTCTCTGAGTATTGTTGCAAGTGCTGCAGAATACCATGAAGGAATTTCCTGCTAACTCATTCAGAATATAAACCAGGTAGCTGTCCTAGAGATCACACAAAATGAGACAAGTGGTAAGGACTGGGAAACAAAGTTGATGATTTATATGTTTGAATTGTTGGACAAGAAAACCTCTAATGTCCATCGCCAAATCATATTCCTAAGACTGAAACAGACAAAAGCAGATAGTTGGTTCTTAATTACACCCGAGCTCTCATTCATGAGTGGCAGTGGACAGCAAGGCATCCTGCTTTCCTTTCATTGATTTCTTTAATGGCATCATGAACAACTTACTTTCACGTATAATCTAGCAATAGAGAGGGACATCGTTAGAAATTTCCTTCCCAGTAATCTTATTCAGGTACCAGGAAAGGCCTTTTAAATCAAAATATGGAAATAACCTTTTCTTCCTCTAGGCATTTCAAGCCACACAATAACCTCAGAAAGAGAAGCTAACTTTACTAAAACCAGTATATTGTATTTGTAAGAGGTGATGTTATCAGGGCAGCTAGGTGACGCAGTGGAAAGAGCACTGGCCCTGGATTCAAGAGGACCTGAGTTCAAATCTAGCCTCAGACACATAACACTCACTAGCTGTGTGACCCTGGGCAAGTCACTTAACCCCACTGCCTCGCCCCCCCCCCCCCAAAAAAAGAGGTGATGTTATCTATAACCAGCACTGAGTGGGGAGAAGTAGAGTCAGCATCACGATGGGTGGCTGGTCAGTTTTCGACATTTCTTCTTGAACTGAGATTTTCTTATTTTGTCCTAACTGCTCCCAATGCGAAAATCTAAGTATAAAATGCATTCCAAAGCCAAATACAAATTACTCTGCAATTTAGAAGTGCCTATATTACAATATCTATCCACTGAGCATGGATCATCAAAAATTAACAATTTATCAGCGCTAAAAAACTAGGGGGACAGAAGGACAGAAATAGAGACCTTAAATTTGGAGGGAATAAAGAGGTAATATTGTTGTAGCTTCTCAACAGTCTGGTATTTGGAAGACACAGCACATTTCACAGGATTCTTTAGAGCTGCTCGCTGAAGTTTTTGCACCTGAAAAAATAAAATCAAAATTACTAACTCTGATTCCTGCCCTCAAGGCTACTTTACGAGTCAATTCATGGGTAAATATGAGAAACAAGACTCACCTTCTTGGTCATGGTAGCAGAGAAGAGAAATGTTTTACGATCTCGGGGAATTAGTTTCAGAATCTTGTCAACCTACAGTACAATTAAAGAAGAATGTGAATTTAGCTCCTGGCCTGCACAGCAGTTCATAATTGTCTTCTCACAAGTGCTGGGACCAAGTAGTTGGGAAAAAAAGGAGGTGGAATACACGACCAACATCATATTTGAGTTTTGGTCATTAGAGAAAAGAAAATAATAAATAAATGGCTACTAGAGTTTATCTATGAAAGAAAACAAAAACAATATGCACATATCTGCTCAATGACAATTAGAGAGGTTATGACTTAGAGAAAGAAGTTCCTATCAGGAATATCTGGATTCAAAACCTGCCTCTGACGTTTGCTACTTGTTTGACCATCAGTTGTTCGGTCTACCAGTCATGTCTTCAGGACCAACTATCCATGGGGTTCTCTTGGCAAACAGTGATTTGCCCTTTCCTTCTCCAGTGGACCCAGTGGATCCTTCTGTCAAGCAATCACAGGTTAAGTGATTTGTTCGGCACCACAGTTATCATTAGCCTCAGTTTCCTCATTTATAAAATGAGGATAATAATATATTTCACAGTAGTATGAACCTTATTGAGTTGTGAAGCCCAAAATGCAATAATGTATTTGAAGCACTTTGCAAACATTAAAATACAATACAAAAAAAAACCTGTTGAGACATTTTCTCTCCTCTTTATACCCTCTTTGTGATTTCATCAACTTCCAAGAGTTTAATTTTGATCTCTATGTATATAACTCCCAGAACCAGTGTCTCCTCTGAGCATCAGTCCTAAACCACTGTCATGTAGGTATATCAAATTGTTCCAGAGATGATTCAGCTCAACATGTACAAAATACGACTCATTATTTTTTCTCCAAAACCCATTCTCCTACCAAATTTCCCTATTTCTGTGCAAGACACCACCATTCTTGCAAGCTCCCAGATTCATAACTCCAGCTTTATTCTCAACTCCTTATTCTCTCTCAACCAGTATCTCCAATCAGTTGCCAGATCTTACCATTTCTAATTCCACAATGGTTCTCACACCTGATCCCTCAGTTCAGGCCCTCCTCACCTGTCCCCTAGATGACTACAATGGCCTCCTAACTGGTCTCCTGATTCATCTCTTTCCATTTCAGTCTACCCTACTCACTGCTGAAAAGGAGATTTTCCTTAAGCACAGATCTGAATGTGTCACTCCCCTACTCAATAAATCCCAATGGCTTTCTATTGCCTCTTGGATCAAATGTAAATTCTTTTTTTTTTTTTTTGGTGAGGCAATCAGGGTTAAGTGACTTGCCTAGGGTCACACAGCTAGTAAGTGTCAGGTCTGAGACTGGATTTGAACTTAGGTCCTCTTGACTCCAGGGCCGGTGCTCTATCTACTGCGCCACCATGCTGCCCCCAAATGTAAATTCTTTCGGTTAGCTTTCAAAGCCCTTCACAACCTGGCCCCAACATATCTTTCCAATCTCTCTATACACCACTCTCTCCCCAATCCTACATTTTATAATCCAGTCAAACTATGTTTCTTACACCCAGCACTCCATCTCGTGACTGCTGGGTTTTTTAATAGCCAACCTTGGTGTCTGGAATGCAGTCCTTCCTCACCTCTACCTCAAAGAATAACTATCGTTTCCTTCAAGATAGCAACTCAAGAAATCTTCTCCATGAAGTCTTTCCTGATCCTGCCCACTGCTAGTGCCCTCCATCCATCTCTAACTACTTTGCATTTAACTGCCTTACATTTATTTTGTATTAGTTCTATATATAATTATGTAAGTATGTGTTGTCTCCCCTAATAGAATGTAAGCCCTCTGAGAATAGAGAATATTTAATATTTTGGTATTGTCTCCTTGGTGCCTTTGTTGACTAACTGATTAACTGCGAAAGTCACCAAAAAGAAAGAACTCAGAAAAAACCTCAGCCAGCACATATTTCATCACCTGAACAGCTGAAGAGGCATGCATGGTCTCTAGATCTTTCATATTTTTCCCTGCCTAACTGCCTTATACAAGGTGGTCTAAAAGTCTATTTAAGATAGTAAAGCTTTAAACCGCACTAAGACTTTTGGGCTACACTGTAATAATTCACTTTATATTTATTCTATATATACTTATCTATTTGTTGCCATACATCCTAGAATGTAAGCTCCGTGAGAGTAGGAATTGTTTCAAATTTTATATCTTCAATGCCTAGCACAGTGCCTGACACATAGTAGGTGCTTAAGAAGTATTTATCAATGGGAGATATAATGGTTACCAAGCACATTAAGATGTAATAATTAGGTAAAAGAAGAGATTCTCCAGACTGTGTCTAAAAAGTCTTAAACAAAATGTAAAAGGAAATATGGTCAATATATTTCTCAACATAAACATACACAAATGGCCAGAGTACTATTATGAGGCTAAATCCTAAGAGAAATAAGAAAGCTAAAATATTTTCAATTTGGAAGAGGAAAAAAGGTAACAGAAATAACAAAGATTCAAAATTGGGTGGACTGGGAACACAGAACCTAGTACACTACTCTAGATACAACAAGTGTTTAATTTCATATATATATATATATATATATATATATATATATTTTTAAATTCAGGGCTTTTGTCCTAAGTGCCTGACTTCTTCATTACCCCTTCTTCACTTCAGAAGGGGTAATAAACTACAAGTAAACCCACCTCTGTCTCAAAGTCCATATTTAATATTCGGTCTGCTTCATCCATGACCAAGTATTTGAGGGCTCGCAAGTTGAAACCTTTTGTGTTTTCCAAGTGGTCAATCAGGCGGCCAGGTGTTGCTACCAAGAAAGGTTTGAAGAAAAAAAAATGAGTAAATCCAAGAAAATCAAAAGAGAATGAAGACAATTAACTGTACCACACAAAAGAATTCAAAGGGACAAAGACTACAATAATCTTGAAATTCCTCAAGGTCCCAAGAAAATAACAGACTCCCCCCCCTCCACCATCATCACCACCTCATTTCACCACTAGTAGTGTCTTACAAATTGAGCAACTTACCTATTATCACATGTGGTTTTTTAGCCAAGGCCAAAGACTGAGACATGCTATCAATTCCACCCACAATTACAGCTAAAGAAGAAAAGAATATGAAGTTAGTACAAGAAGAAGCTCCATGGTTAATTTTAAATTGATCACAACTGATTCCCTAATATTTTATCAGCTACTCAAGGCTATAACCTAATATGAAATTAGTATTTTCTCCCATTATCGTTTTTTACACCCTTTCAATCTGTCCTGTAACCCTTACTATTATGACTCTTCTTTGTTCACTCACCACATTCAACTCCAATGGAAGACCCCAAGGCTTCAAACTGCTCTGAGATCTGAAAGGCCAGTTCCCGAGTTGGGGTGAGAACCAGAGCAAAAAACCGTTGTGGTGTCTCTAGCAAAGCATTTAGGATGGGCAGAGCAAAGGCCCCTGTTTTTCCAGAGCCTGTTTCTGCCAGACCAATGATATCACGACCTACAAGAAAAAAAGACAATAGTTTAAACTTTAGTTTGTAGATAAAAGAATTTTAGCTCTGCTTCAGAAAGTTTGTTAGTTTACATGCTAAGGAATGATTTACCTCTGTCCAAACAAGGTAATGCTCAGACTGTGGATTACCCAGGTCTCTTATTTATGTTTTTTTCCTAGAAGTAGCTATCATAAATGTTCTCTGATTATTACATCATAGAACTTTACTTGAAGATTATCTAACACAAAAGTGTCAAACAGGCACAACACTCCCAAGTACAGCCCAAACTAGATTAAAATGTAGATGGAAAATAGTGAACAAAAGAAATAAAAATGTAATAGAATATAGATAATTAGTACGCTGTCTTCTAAGTCAACAGGCTGCCCACAGGGATGTATGGTTTAAAGGCCCTATTTATATTTGAGTTTGCCACTACTAATCTAGTATAACTTTCCAATGAATGTGAGAATCAATCCCCTCCATATTTTTGGCAGATGATCATCCAGCTTCTGCTTGGATACTTATATTGACCAGGAACTCACTCCAATACATTTTAGACAACTTTAATTATTAGAAATTTTTACCCATGAAACCCAAATCTGCCCTCCTAAAACTTTCACTCACTACATCTATTAATGCTCTAGAGCAGAGGTCAGCAAAGTAGCCAAAAAGTGAAATCCCAGTTCCATCTGGTTTTTAGTGCAACCTCATTGAAAAAAAATAGCCATAGTTTCTCTAGATCTATAAAAAGTAAATCCAAATCCACCTCTACATAACATCCCTTAAATATTTTTTAAAAATCATAATATTCCAGCTAACTTTTTTCTTTTCAAGGATGAATACCCGTAGTTCTTCAACTGTTCTGCATATCACCTGATCTCCAAACCCTTCACATTCCAGTTATAGTCCTCTAGAAGCCCTCTAGGTGGATGACAACCCTCTTCATATATGGTAATATTTATGGCATAATATCAAATATGGCATATATTAGAACTTAACACAGCATTCCAGATGTACTCTGGTCAATTCAATTAAAGACATATGCAAAATACTGTGGATACAAAACTGAAATAAGACATAGCTATTACTTTCTAGGAGCTTACAAATTAATAGAACGTAGTCACAAATTACTATGGTAGAACGTGAGAAGGGCAAAGCAGAGTTCAACAGACAAGGAAGAAAGATTATGAAGAGAAAGATGGTGGAAGGATTCCTGGAGGTGGCACCTGGGCTGGACTTGGAAGGGAAGTATTTCAATAAGTGGAAGAACGGAAAGGAGAACCTATTCAAGTCTGGAGTACACAGAGAGAACAAGATGAGAATGAGAAACAATGAGTAGTCCATGGTCTAATGCCCCTGGACATGAGTAGCGAGAAATGAGACTGGGAAGGTAAACTGAAGCCAGACTGCAGACAGCCCTGAAGGACCAGATCAGGAGTCTATAATCAGTACACAATAGGAACTCACTGTTTTTAAGCAGAGGAGTAACAATAAAGGGGAGGGGTAGTGTGAACAAGAAATTTAATTCAATTCACCTCAACTGACATTTAGAAAGTATCTACTAGAAACACCAAGATAAAAATGAAATAGTCCTTACCCTAAAGAATCCAACTGATGGATGCACCAGGTATAATGACAAGTAAATTAATATAGGGTAATCTGAGGAGAAAGAAAGCTGCTTGGGGGAGGGGGAGTGCAGAATAGGGAAGGCTTCACGGAGGCAGTGAGATGAGCTTAGCCCTTTTAGGAAGTAAGGATTTTTTTATAGAGTTAGAAAAAATAATAACAAGATTCATTTGGAAGAACAAAAGATCCAGAATATCAAGGGAACTAATGAAAAGAAATGCAGGGAAAGGTGGCCCAGCAATTCCAGATCTTAAATTGCATTATAAAGCAGCAATCATCAAAACTGCTTGGTACTGGCTAAGAAACGGAGTGGTGGATCAGTGGAATAAGTTAAATATGCAAGACACAGTAGTCAATGACTATAGTAATCTATTATTTGATAAACCCAAAGACCCCAGCTTCTGGGATAAGAACCCAATCTTTGACAAAAACTGCTGGAAAAACTGGAAAAGAGTATGGCAGAAACTAGGCATAGACCAAAATCTCACACCACATACCAAAATAAAGTCAAAATGGGTTCATGATCTAGATATAAAGGCTGATACTATAAGCAAACTGGGAGAGAACGGAATAGTTTACCTATCAGATCTATGGAGAACAGAAGAATTCATGACCAAACAGGAGATAGAGAACATTACGAAAAGCAAAATGGATAATTTTGATTACATTAAATTGAAAAGTTTTTGCACAAACAAAGCCAATGCAACAAAGATTAGAAGGAAGGTAGAAAATTGGGAAAGAATTTTTACAACCAGTCTGTCTGATAAGGGCCTCATTTCTAAAACATAGAGAAAATTAAGTCAAATTTATAGGAATATAAGCCATTCCCCAACTGATAAATGGTCAAAGGATATGAACAGACAGTTCTCAGATGAAGAAATTAAAGCCATCTATAGTCATATGAAAAAATGCTCTAAATCACTATCGATTAGAGAAATGCAAATCAAAACAACTCTGAGGTACCGCCTATCAGATTGGCCAACATGACAAAACAGGAAAATGATAAATGTTGGAGAAGATGTAGGAAAATTGGAACATTAATGCATTGTTGGTGGAGTTGTGAAATGATCCAACCATTTTGGAGAGCAATTTGGAACTATGCCCAAAGGGCTATAAAAATGTGCGTACCTTTGATCCAGCAATAGCACTTCTAGGGCTAAATCCCCAAGAGATCATACAAATGGGAAAAGGACCCACATGTACAAAAATATTCATAGCAGCTCTTTTTGTGGTGGCAAAGAATTGGAAATTGAGAGTATGTCCATCAATTGGGGAATGGCTGAGCAAGTTGTGGTATATGAATGTAATGGAATACTATTGTGCTATAACAAATGATGAACAGGCTGACTTCACAAAAACCTGGAAAGACTTGTATGGTCTGACGCTGAGTGAAGTGAGCAGAAATCAAGAAAACGTTGTAAACAATAACAGACACATTGTACGATGACTAATATTTATAAACTTAACCCGTCCCAGCAATACAAGGATCTAAGACATCTCCACGGGCCTTGTGATGGAAAATGCTATCCACATCCAAAAAAAGAACTATGGAAGTTGAATTGCTATTTTTTTTCTCTTTTGTTGAGCTTTGTTTCCTCTTTCTGATGGTTCCTCCTATTGGTTTTAATTTTTACTTACAACATCACTAATGTGAAAATATGTTTAATAGGAGTGTAAATGTATAGCCTATATCAGACTGTGCGCTATCTTGGGGAAGATGGTGGGGAGGAAGGGGGAGAAAAATTTTAAACTCAAAAGCATATGGAAGTGATTATTGATAAATCAAAATAAATCAGTAAAAAAATCACAAAAGAAAAAATAAAGAGGTAAGGATTTTAAGCAGCAGAGATAAAGGGGAACATTACAGGCAAGAAGGGCCACTTGGGCAAAGACCCTCAAACAGGAGATTTCAGCTGCAGCAACCAGCTAGTGAAGCTAACTTGGCTAGAATGTAGGGTACAGAGCAGGGAAGATAGGAGGAAGTCAGACCACAGGGCTCTGTGCATGACAGACTCAAGAATTTGAACTTCAATCTAGAGGTAATAAGGAAACACAGAAGAGTTCTGAAGCAAGGAAGAGTGACAGAATCATATCTGCTTTATAACTTTATAACTTCAACTTGGCAGCTAGATGACTGGAGAAAGGAGAGACTAGAAGCAGAAAAAGTCTCTAATTAGAAGATTATTATAATAATCCAGACAAGAGGTCATGAAGGCCTGAAATAGGCTAAGGGCTGTTGCGTGAGTAAAGAAAAGGGAATAAATGCCACAGATGCTGTAGCAGCAGTAGCAGCAGCAGCAGCAACAGCAGTAGTAATAATAGTAGCAGTAATACCAGCTAGTACTTACATAGCACTTTAAGGCTTGGCAAGGCACTTTACAAATTTTATATCATTTTATCCTCACAACAATCCTAGGAAGCAGATGCCATCACTATCCCTATTTTAAGGGTGAGGAAACTAAGGCAGATAGTGATTTTAAGTAAAGTGGCCTGGCTCGGGTCATACAGCTAATAAGTGTCTGAGGCAAAATTTGAACTCAGGTCTTTCCAACCCCAAAGCACTCTATCCACTGTGCCACCTTGCTGCCTTCCTATAAATGTAGAGTCAATGAAATCTGGCAACTGATTGGAAAGAGAGAGAGATAGGAAAGAGTCAAAGATGACTCCAAGGTTGCAAACCTGGGTGGCTGGGATGGTGCCATTAAGAAAATTAAAAGAGAAATTTGGAAGAGGATAGGGATGGGTACAGAAGGCAAGACACAAGCTATTCCATTTTGTACAGGTGGCGTTTGAGATGCCAAGGGAACATCCAAGCAGTTGACAATACAGAAGCGCAACTCAGGCAAGAACTCAGGACTGGCTATAAAGATGTGGGTGTTATCTGTGTAGGAGAGGCAGCAGGGTGAAGCAGCAAAGAGCTGGTACTGGACTTAGGAAAACACCTCTGACGACATACAATGACTGCGTGACCCCAGGCAAGTCATCTAACATCTCAATGTTTTAAGCAACTCTCTAAGACTAAGTTGCAGAGAAGGTGCTGACCAGGACTGGCTGGGGGATCACCGGGGCAATAAGACCCCATAAACGGGAGGGGATGGGATCAAGAACACAAGTAGAGGTTTGGGCCTGGACAAGGAGAAAGGCCACATCCTCCTCAGAAACTGGAAAAAAAGGAAGAGACAAACAGTCTGCTTAAACATTTCTTTTGTCTCCTTCCCACACTTCTCCCTCTCCCTCCTCTTCCTTCTCCCTCCCAATGAAAAGAAATACTGCACAAAACACCTATAACAAATTCACATCGTCAGGTTAAAAAGAAAATCCCCACACTGGCCACATCCAACAGCTCTGTGTCTCATTCTGCTGCTTGGTCCATTGCTTCTCCGGCCCTGCCCTGTTCCTGTCTTTGCTGCCAGGCCCTCTCTCCTCTCCTGCTCCTGCTCACTCCTCTGGCGGTTCTGGAGAGAAGTCACTGTCATTTCTCAGTGGATTTATGGTGTGGACTTCAAGGCTTTTCTGGAGTAGGCATGTGCCTCCTTCTTGGCTGGAAGGCCCAATGATCTTTCAAATGCCAGAACGGATGGTCTTTTCTCAGTTCATCACCTTTCTGCTGCATATGACACTGATGAACACCACCCTGATACTCTCTCCTCAGCATACTTTGCTGGACCCTCATGCGTATCATGCTGCCTGTGTCTGTACCCCAAGACCATAACCAAGGCCCTCTTCACTCCTCTCCATTCTTGGTGGCCTCTTCAGCTTTCCTGAGTTGAATCATCACATCCATGCTGACAACAACCAGATCTAAATATCCTGCCCCAGTCTCTCCCTTGTTCTTCATTCTCACATCACCAACCACTTATTGGACATTTCAAACTTTCCTATCCATTACCTTTCCCTCCAAACTCACTCCTGTTCCAAACCTCCTGAGCTCTTCTCCTTGGTTTCAACTCTGCCAACATCCTGCCCCAGCCCTTTACCCTTACCCCTCCTTTTTAGCTTACTTTTGGGCACTATCTTTGCCTTTAGATCAGACCTGCACAACTTGGCAGCAAGTAGGGGTCAAAATTAAAATAGGCTGAACTTTTTGGGGCCACAGATAGATTTTCAGCTGCTCACTTTCCAAGTAAAGGTATAATTAATGATTAAACTATTTCTCAAAAACACTTTTTTTATATGGACATAATCCAGAAACTGCAATCAGCAAACACTTCTTTATGAAGTCACCTTCAGTAAAAGACTTCCCAGTAGCAGCAATTTCTTTAGAAATTTGAAAACTAACTTTAGTAGCCGCCTCATTTTCTGAGTTTAGTCTCTTGAAAAACTGTTGTTCCCCACTGAGATTTTTTCAAAAATTTGGACACTTTAATTTGTTTTTCATTGGTGTCCAATTTGCTTAAGTCAGGATGTGATGATTCGAAATGGCAATGAAGATTGCATTCCTTCAGAACAGCTATTACTTCTCAGCAAACAAGGCACAATATTTTGTTTCTCGTGTAATAAGCACCTATTTGTCCACTCTGGATTGTTTAATCAGAACTCTATGTTCTGATTTTCTGTTTCTTTTTATCACCCCTTTTACAAAGTCATCCCAAAAACTTTAATGTTAGAACCAAAAAATCTCCACAGCAACTGCTCACCCACAAAGAAATACTGAACTGAGTGTCTGACCTTGGAGAGAGCGCCAGATGTTCACGTAACCTGGAGGGAGGGGAAGAAGCCCTCATGCTGTTGCCACTCGTTGAATAGTGGGCGTCAGCTGCATGGGCGCATGGCTACACTCACTTCGTCCCTGTTCAACACCAGTAACGACCAAAAACACATCGAAAAGATAGACTCTCCCTTCTCTCAGAGTGAAGACAGATTGATGATAGTTGGTTGCCAGGGGTCACGTGACAAACAGGAGGGAGTGGTCTGTGGCGACCTCTACATTTTTCAGGGCCACCCAAAAATCTTTGGGCTGTAGGTTGGGCAGGCCTGCCTTAGACTGCAAGCTCCTGAAGTGCAAGGATTGTCTTTCCTCTTCTTATTTGTATCCCCAGTGCTTAGCACAATGACGGGCACATAGTAGGTGCTTAATAAATGTTTAGTGACTATTGTTGTTTGTCCTTCATTGGAGGGCGATGTCTTGACTTGTGGATTTAAGTGAGGCACAGCTGTGCAAAGTCATCAGCCTCACTGTCTTCTCCAGGGTCATCTGAGTCCAGTGACAAGACATAGATCAGGACGACTGGAGATGACTCCAGATGGAGTGGGAGACTTTGGCCTTTTTAAGCTAAGGTCTTTCCCAGGTCTCAGTTTGTCTGAAGTAATACCCATTCAGGGATTTAAGGCTAAGTAAGAATTAAGGCAAAAGATACCCTAGTTTGCCTACTAAAAATACATATATATATACACATATATATATAAGAATTAAGGCAAAAGATGGCCTAGTTTGCCTACTAAAAAAAAACTGTATCTCAAACTGGGAGGGGAAGATCTTCAGGGTTTCTGGCCAGAACAGTGACTACTGACTGTTACTGTTAAGGGCATCACCAGTCAACCAATTTTATAATCTCAATGTCATCAACTCCTCTCCCTCTCTTACCCCACATCAATTACCAAATCTTGTCATTTTTTCCTCAACAACATCTCTTGCATATATTTCCTTCTCCCCACTCACACAGCCACCACCCTAGTGGAAGATCTCATCACCTCTTGCCTAGACTACTGCAATAGCCTCCTAATTACCCTTGGGCCCAAGTACCAAACTCCCCCCAAAGCCCTCCTTTGAAGAGGCAGAAATTGGACTTTCAGCCCACTCCACTTTACATCTGCTTCTCTGCCTGGTTGCCACTCCATGGAACAAGATGCCCCAATACCAGGTATAACCAGATGCTCCCCACCTTTCTTGCCTACTTTTATGTACAGTCTCCCCCCATTAGACTGTAAGCTCCTTGAGGGCTGAGCCTGTCTTTTTCTTAGTTGTATTCCCAGTACTTAGCACAGTGCCTGGCACATAGTAGGTGCTTAATAAATGTTTATTGAATTGAATTGAAAATGTTACCCCTCTGCACAAAAATATTCAGTGGTTCCCTACTTACTACTAAGCAGAATTCAAATTCCTTTACCTGGTACTCAAGGCCCTCCACAATCTGCTGCCACCCTACGTTTCCAGTCTTTTCTCACTCTCTGTGGAATATAAACTACAGGGAAGTCAGGTGACTTTCCATTACCATAAAAAAAGGAGTACCCTCTCACCTCCATGCTTTTGTCCATGCTGTCCCCTATGCCAGGCGTGTCATTCCTCCTCCACTAGGACTAGGAATTCTCACCCATCTCTTCATCTGCCACCTTTCCTGTGAAACTTTCCTTGATCCTCCTTGTTAGTAATGATCATCTCCCCCAAACCTCATTTAGTATTTTCTTTTGTAATTATATAATGTAGTTGTCAAGTAACATCTATTGCAGTTTTTTGAGTTTGCACCTCTTCCTCCAACTAGACTGTAAAAAGTGTCTCTTCTAAACTTTGTATACCACCAGCCACCTAGCCTGCTCTGTATACATACTATAAAATACATAAGATTACTAAAGAAATCAATTATTTTAAAATAAAATTACCCAAGATTTTTAATAACAAGCCCACAGATCTCACATTAAGAATCCCTGTATTAAGAGAGGGAACAATCTGACCTAGGCGCCTTCCTTTCTGTGTTGTTTTCTGTCATCTATTGTATATTTTCATTTTAACTTACCTTCCAGTGCCATGGGAATAGCTTCAATCTGGATTTTGGTTGGCGTCTTCCATCCCAACTGGTCACAGGCATCACACAACACTTCTGTCACACCCTTTGAGTTCAGAGAAAAGAAATCTCAGCTTTTGCCCGCAAAACTCTTTTCCTTCCTGTACATTTAGCTTAGCAAGGTATCTCTTTAGTCACTCAACAAGCATTTATTAAGCACCTATTATGTGCTAAGTGCTGGGGATACTAAAAAAGGCAAAAAACAATCCCTGCTCTCAAGGGCCTCACAATCTGATGGGGGAGACAACATGTAAAAAAGTACATACGAACATCTGTGTATGCACATTTTATAATACGTGTGTATATACACACACGGGACAAATTGTGAATTTATCCAATATGTATCCTCATGTGAATAATACCTTATGTACATACACTGGAAAAATTGAGGATTTATCCAATAAGTGTTCTTACATTCATACCCTATGTACACATATAAGATAAAATTTGGATTTATCACTATGCATTCTTATATTATATCCTATATACATACGTAGGCTAAATTGTGGGGTTTTCCTATATGTATTCATATATATGCCATAGACACATATAGGATACATTGTAATTTTTCCTCAGGCTGCAAGGTAGCATAATGGATGGAACACAGGTCCTGGAATCAGGAAGACTCCTTCCTGAGTTCAAATTCAGCCTCAAACACTTAGCTGTGTAGCCCCTGGGCAAGTCACTTAACCCTGTTTGCCTCTGGTTCTTCATCTGTAAAATGAGCTACAGAAGGATATGGTAAACTACTCCAGGAACTGCCAAAAAAAAAAAAAAACCCAAATGGGGTCATGGGAAGAGTCAGACACGACTGAAAAAAGACTTAAGAACATTCTTCACGTATGTCATATAGAGGTGGTGTGTGCATAGAGATACTGATAGATATGTGTGTATGAAAATTCATACAGGATAATTCTGTAATTTATCTCATACATCTAGGATAATTCTGCAGTTTACCTCATATATACATACATATATATGTATGTGTATATGTATATGTATACATACACATCTAGATACAGCCATCCTAAAGAGGTGAGAGGTGTGCATGCAACCCTTTCCCAGGTGTGGACACGGGCCTGTCCTTCCCCTTCAGAAAGGCTGCTGATGCCCACGCAGGTGGTGGCCCTCCGCAGCCTGGGTCGAGCTCGGAAAGCCACATCTCCTCAGGCTCAAAGACCGAGGAAGCTGGTGCTGACCTGGGCCAAGGACTGAGACGAGGGGCTTGTACCAGGCACAATGCCTGTACGCTGTAACTGCTTAATAAATGTTTATGAACAGACTACCCAGTCCAGTAGTGCAGCACACAGGAGGCGCTTAATAAATGTTTCCGCCCTGACTGCCCAGCCCACTACCTGGCACACTGCAGGCGCTTAAATGTTTGTGGTCTGACTGCCCGATCCTTCCAGCCTGAAATGCGTAGGTTCCCAGACTGATCTAGGAGCTGGTTATGTAAAAATAAAAAAGGAAAAATTAATAAATAAAAGCGACCCACCCCCGCCCTTACCAGGTCTTTAAATGTTTTAGTCTCCTGAACCTCGGCCTCCTTTGGATCCGACGAGCAGGTAGCAGAACCGCACTCCGTGGCCGCCGCCATGTTGAGCTTGCGCTCGAAGGCTACGGGCGCTGCACGGAATCCTGGGAAATGTAGTTCCACTTCCTTCTCGGCCTCCGTCTTCCCTCCCCTCCCTACCCCCACCCCACCCTCGCACGGAATCCTGGGAAGAGTAGTTCCTTGTTCCTTCTCAGCCTCTGGCTTCCCTCCCCTCCCTACATCTTACCCCACCCCCCAATGCGGAATCCTGGGAAATGTAGTTCCCTGTTCATTCTCAGCCACCGTCTTTCCGGGTGCTGCCTGATGATTAGTTTGCTCTAAGGGCACAGCCCACTTGGGAAGAAGGTTTGTCGAGGGCCGTTCCTGTCTCTAAAGCTTTTTTTTTTTTAAGTGAATTGAAGGATCCCCACAGAGTGACCTGTTTGAAGGGTCCCTGGAAGGGTCCGAGGAGGCAGAAGGGGCTAAAGGTCTCTCTCCAAAGCCTAACCCAGCCTGGTTTCCTTGGACTTAATAATAATAGCATCTATATAGTGCAAGGTTTGCAAAGGGGTTCACAAATGTCATCTCATTTAATCCTCAGCAACAATCCTGGGGCAGCTAGACGGCACAAGTAAAAAGAATTTGGGGCCTGGAGTCAATAAAATTCATCATCCTGAGTTCAAACGTGGCCTCAGACACCAGCTGTGTGACCCTGGGCAAGTCACTTAGCCCTCTTTACCTCAGTTTCCTTATCTGTAAAATGAGCTGGAGAAGGAAATGGCAAACCGAAAACCCCATGAAGAGTTGGACACGACTAAACAACAATTATTAGCATCATTTACAGATGGAGAAAATGAGGCAAACATTATTCAGACCTTCCTGATTCCAGGGGGGCTCTACCCACTGCACCACCCGGCTGCCAGCCTGCACTGACTGCCAGGGTTACCATGGTAGCCACAATCCTACCCACCCTCATTCCCAGCCTTTGCAGTCAGGTTGTGTAACCTCGGGTGAGGGTGTCAAGATCAAACCATCTTCCTCCACCCTTACCCTATCAGGTTTCTCTGTCTTTCCACAAAAATGGTCATAGTAAAATAGTCAAATTACCGTAGTAGTCTAGTGTTTGATAAACCCAAAGATCCAAGCTTCGGGGGCAAGAACTAACCATCTGACAAAAACTGCTAGGAAAACTGAAAAGCAGTTTGGTAGAAACTAGGCATAAACTAACATCTCACACCATATACCAAAATAAGGTCAAAATGGGTACATGGGTTAGATATAAAGAGTGATATCATAAGTAAATTAGGGGAGGATGGAAAAATGAGCCAGTCACATCTATGGCTAAGGGAAGTTTATGACCAAACATGAGATAGAAAGTATCATGGGAAGTAAAATGGATTATTTTGATTATATGAAAATAAAAAAGATTTTGCACAAATAAAATTAACACAGCCAAAATCAGAAAGAAAGCAGGAAACTGGGAATGGAGTGAGGAGACAGAAAGACATAGCAAATTTTCTCTGATAAAGGCCTCATTTCTCAAAAATATAGGGAACTGAGCCAAATTTATAAAAATACAAGCTACTCTCCAACTGATAGTCAAAGGATATGAATAAGGAGTTTAACATGCACTAAATCACTATTGATTAGAGAAATGCAAATTAAAAGAACACTGAGGTACCACCTCATACCTATCAGATTGGCTACTATGATAGAAAAGGAAAATAATAAATGTTTAAGGAGATGTGGGAAAAAGGTACACTAATGAATTATTGGTGAAGTTGTGAACTGGTCCAATCATCTTGGAAAACAATTTGGAACTATGCCCAAAGGGCTATAATACTGTGTATACCCTTTGACCCAACAATACCACATTACTAACTCTGTATCTCAAAGAGATCAAAGGAAAAAGGGAAAGGATCTATATAGACAAAAATATTTATAGCAGCTTTTTTTGGTGGGAAAGAATTGAACATGGAGAGGATGCCCATCATCTGGGGAATGGCTAAACAAGTTGTGGTACACTCATTGTACTATAAGAAATGATGAGCAGGATGGTTTCAGAAAAACATGGGAAGACATATAAACTGATGCAAAGTTAAGTGAGCAGAACCAGGAGATCATCATGCATAGTAACAGCAATATAATGATGATTGACTGTGAAATCTCTGATCAATACAATGACACAAGACAATTTGGGAAGACTCATGATGAAAACGGCTATCCACCTCCAGAGAGAGAACTAATGAACTCTGAGTGCAAACTAAAAATATAATTTTCTCACTTTTTTTGGTGAAGTGGCTAATATAGAAATATATTTTGATAATTTCACATGTATAATAGGTATCATACTGCTTGCCTTCAGGAAAGGAGAGAATTTGGAACTCAAAAAAGAATTTTTTTCAAATTTAAAAATTTTTTTAAATAAATAATAAACCAAAAAAGATAGGAAAGTTGGAAAGCAATTTGACAGAAATTAGGTTTAGATCAATATTCACACCATATACCACAATAAGCTCCAAAGAGTCATATATAATAAATAAATCAGAGGAACAGGAAAGGATAAGGGAAGAGTCCTTGACCAAATAAGGGATAGAGAGAATCACAAGAAATAAAATGGATAATTTTGATAACATAAAATTTTAAAGGTTTTACACAAACAAAATGTAAACTGATATAAGAGAAACAGTTAACTGCGAAACAATTTTGTATCAAATTTCTCTTATAGAGTTCTGATATAAAAAACATATAAAGAACTGGTTCAACTATATAAGAATGTCAAGGATATATAAAACTATAAAAACCCTATTTAAACCACTTTACAGGGTTGAGCTGGAGGTTTATAAATTTAAAAAGGCCCTTTGTTTACAAAAGACTCACCTGTAACATCCTTGAATTGGAATAATAATGATAATAGCTAACATTTATGTAGCACCTTCAGATCTGCAAAGTGCTTTACAAATATTATATCATCAATTCCCACAATAATCCTATAAGGAAATGGGCAAACAAAGGTTCAGTATCTTGCCTAGTCATACAGCTAGTAAGTGTCTGAGGCAGGATTTAAACTCAGATCTTCCTAAATCCTATCTTTTGTACCACCAAGCTGCCTCATGATGATTCAGTTGCTGAGGTCAATGAGGAGTTGAGATCTATTATGGTATTACAGTTCACAATAAAGTCTATCCCTGAATCTGTCCTTTAAAAAATACAAATTTGTATAAGGGTATATACATATAAATGCAACCAGGGATTGAACAGAGAGCAAAACCACACTTCCTAATTCCAGCTGGCTATGTGTTAGCACTTTTGGGGATGTGCAAGGGTCCTTTGGGGATGACTAAACCTACTTCTTTTCAGCCCTATGTGATTGAGCACAAAAGGACTCTTGTACTTTAAGATAAAATATCCCTTTGTCTGGAAGGATTAGAGAATGGGTCCAGAGGATGTAGAGATAGCTAGATGATAAGGCCAGGAGGACCTTAGGGTACTAGTAAGGGAACACAGTAAGGTCTGGTGGTCATCCATCTCACCAAAAGGAATGGAGTCAGTGACTCTGATCTCATCCAAGCCATATAAGCAGTCAAGCAGCCCAGATGGATTCTGAGCAGCCTAGACTGTGGGTAGGGGGTAAAGAGGAAAGCAGGAGAGGCAGAGAGGCACACTGAAGTCTTCAGGTTTCCTCCACCTCCTAAATGTCTTATATAGGTTGTGACAGCCCAGTCCAGAGAAGGGGGAGAGAAGAGAATGTATGCATCTGTCTTTTAGAGTAATACATCCAGCATTTGCCTAAAGAACAATGCTTCTGAAGAAAAAAAGGGAAATAGAAAGGTTTTTTCAATTTGTTGTAAATTTACTATCTAATTTCCTTAGAATACAAGGAATGGGAACAGAAAATAGAAACAACATGAGCAGAATCAGAAAAGTGAAAGGGAATTCAGATGAAAATGATTAAAGGACTAAAAAAATTGCATGATGTAGATCTTAAGGTATCCATGATATTGACAAGATGTATTACAGTTTAACAAAATCACCCATAAGTTTCTTAGGGAAAAATAGTTTCAGTGCAATGACATTTCTGGTACATTAAAAAGAAACCTATTTGGGGAAAATTTATTTAAACCATTCAACTATAATTATCAAATACAATTTCTTTTAAGCCAACATATACAGATTGAGAAACACTTCCATTTTTTCTTGAATAACTTACACATTCATCATCAAAATTTTTTCTCAATCATATAATCTCAGAGTTAGAAGGTATTTCAAGAGTAACTTAGTCCAACCCATATCTGAATAGGAATTTCTACTACAAAATCCCCAACATTTAGTCATCTGAGCTTCCTACCTTTTAAAACAGATGATTTCATTTTTGCGTAGCTATAATTATTAGAAAGTTTTTCCTTATATCAAGGTGAAATATGCAGCTCTGCAACTTCTACTCATTATTCATAGTTCTACCTTCTAGGGCCAAGTTAAACATGAAATTCCTCATCTACATGATGACACTCACAGATATAGGCAGTTAACATGTCTCCTCCACCCCTCTCAAGTCTTCTCTTCTCCAGGTTAAATATTCCCATTTCCTTCAATTGATCTTTGTATGGCATGGTCTCCACTCCCCTCACCATCTTTGTCACCCTTCTCCAGGTGCAGTCCAGTTTATCTTATCTTTATTTTATAGTTGCTTCCTGAAATATGATGCTAAGACCTGGGCTGAACACTCCAGATGTGGCCTCACCAAAGACAGGATGTAACAAGATCATCACTTCCCCTGTTTTGCACATTACGCCTCTCTTAATGCAGCATAAGATTACATTAACTTTGGGGGCTTTCATTTTAACACTGTTGACTCATGTTTACAATTCATTAAAATCCCTATCATCCAGCTATACCTCCCCTAGCTTGTTCTTTTGAAGTTGATTTTTTGGACCTAAGCATATTAGTTTACATTTGTCTCTGTTAAATTTTATCTTATAATGTTATAACCTCTGGTCTAGCATGACTCTATCATCCAACACATTAGTTTTCAAAGATGCTATTGTTCTTGAAGCGTACATGTATATAGAGGCCAATT